ATAAGTAAAAAGATAATATTATAGAGTTAAAGTGAAGTCCACAGGAGTTGTGCTTCTCCTATCCTCTAATCCTTCATGCCTTTATACTATTTAATTTGCCTAACTTTTCAGGCTAAGCCTTGTTTTTCTCCCTTACATCCCATACCACAGCACACTAGTTATTCTAGTTATTCTAGTTCTAGTTATTCTAGTCGTTCTAGTTCTAGTTGTTCTAGTTCTAGTTATTCTAGTTCTACTTGTTCTGGTTGTTCTAGTGTTTTCTAGTTAGCCTCTTAGTGTTGTTACTCTGTTCCTACTAACGCGCGTAAGCCACGTCCTAATATAGGCCCACTATTTATGCCTTAACAATGTTAATTATTAACACCACCTATTTTTTAATTTTTTTTTTCTCTGCCCTCCTTATACTTAGAGAAACGTCCTCTTGGTTGCATGCTGCTGGGCCCTCCCCTTTACTAAGATAAGATAAGTTCCCCTTGGGCTTCGCTATTTAAACTGTTAGGGAGAGTAACCTATTTAAACGAGGAGAAGTAGGAGGGGCAAGGTTTAATAGTAGTAATCCTATAGTAGAGAATATAGGTTTAATAAAGAAATATAAGTAAAAAGATAATATTGTAGAGTTTAAGTAAAGTCTCCTAGAGTTATGCCTATCCTATCCTCTGATCCTTTATGCCTTTATACTATTCAATCCGCCTAACCTTTTAGGCTAAGCCTTGTTTTTCTCCCATACATCCCTCACCACGGCATAGTAGGAGGTAGGCAGGTAAGGTAGATTTTAGGTGTTGTTGTTTTTCTCTAGTGTATAGATTTTTTCTAGTTACTAGCGCTAGCTATTTGCCTAACTATAGCCTATGCTTAAACTAGTAGTATACTATCCTAGACTCTACACCCTATTCTATACTATTTTTACTAGCATACACGCTATAATATTAGTATTATTAAATTAAGCTTATTAAGCTAACCTAGTAGCGGTAATATTATAGTTAATTATAATAGTATTTATATATTAGGTAGTATTCAAGATTTTCTATAGAATTAGCTCTAATATTATTACCTTATTTACTATATATTTAACGCGTATCTAATATTACTATATTATTTACCACGTATCTAATATTATTATCTAAATTTAACGCGTCCTATACATTAGTAACGCGTTTATCCTATAACCTATCCTCTAATTCCTCTAATTTTTGCTCTAGAGCTATTAATACTATAAATCTCTCTATAATACTAGCTATACTATTATAGCTAGGACTAAGTAATTAGTAGGTAGATCTACTAGTAGAAAACAATCGCGGAAAAATTAAGCTAAGAAAGCTACTTAAAACCCTATTAAAAATAAGGATAGAATAGATAAGAAGAAGTATTTGTATAAGCTAGGTAGTAAGTTTATTATAGATTTTAATTATATTCTTAAGCTAATAATAGTCTATAGCTATTACGCTAAGGGAGATTAAGTAATACTAGAAAAGCACTAATCTCCTCCTCTATAAGCTACTATTCTCTTAACTTTTACATAAGATTAGTAATAATATAGCTTAGCTAGAGGAGTATTACTTCTAGAGGTCTGCAATTAAAGCTATTCAAGAATCTATAGAAGCTTTTCTTATTAGGTTTTTAGAAGGTATATTTTTATAAAAGTATGCCTAGTTAATACTATAGCTAATAAAATAGACTATAATATAAATATAATTTATATAAAGAGGGTAACTATTTAGGCTAAGGATTTATAGCTAGCAAAGTACTACTATTAGAAATTTAGTAGGAGAAACTTTACTTAGAGTTTCTATATATATAC